ACATTTTTTAATTTAAAAACAATTATTTTTAATTATTTAACTACTTATAGCTATAATATATCCACTAACCTCTGAATCTGGTAGAATATGTAGAATAAACTTAAAAAATACTATTTTTGTGGTTGATAAAACAGAAGACTACTTCCCCGAACCCACCTCCCAGACTGTTAGGTCTATCTGTTAACATGTTCATGTGGTAGTCTGCATTTTGTTTTCATAATACTTGGAACACTTGTAATTCCTTGTTGTACAACTGTCTGCCCCCACTGTCTTACAAGCTGCAAAAGTGAGATCATTTCTGTCTTGCTCACTGCTGAATTTCTAACCCCTGGCACAGTAACATGGCAGATGCTTAATAAATATTAATAATAAATGGATGAGTCTATTGCAATGGTTCTAAAGCGATATAATCCAGTTCAGAGAGGCTAAGTTAAGGTGGTAGCAGTGGAAATGAAAAGGAGAGATTTCTTGTTTGTAGAAACAAGGGTAGAGAACCAAAAAATTAAGAAATAAATGAAATTTTTGAGCTTATATTACTGATTAAACAGTGATACTTTCACTTACAGAATTAAAGAAATTAAAAGACAGCTGACTTTTGTCTTGGACCTCTTGAATTTTTCAAATGTTAGACAAAGAGCAGAAACAAATTTCTAATCTACTTATAGCTACCATGTGATTTAGCTTCCAGATGATTTTTTCAAATCAAATTTCATGGGAGGTAAGGTTCATATTTTTCTCTTTAGTTACTCATTTTTTCCAATTTTATTCCCCCTCATCTCTGCTTTATATGTTATTGAAAAATGTTAAGAAAACCATTTTTGAGCCCTGGCGCATGTAGCTCACTCAGATGGTTGGAGTGTCTTCCCATAACCGAAAGGTTGTTGGTTTGATTCCAGGTCAGGACACATGTCTACATTGCAGGTTCTACCCAAGTTCTAGGAGCAAATAGGAGGCAACCCATTGGTGCTTCTCTCTTGCATTGATGTTTCTCTCTCTCTCCCTTCAAAAGCAATTTTAAAATGTCCTTGAGTAAAGATTTAAAAAAAAAATTATTTTTGAGATATTTTAGAAATTAAGGCACTTAGTGGATTAATGAAGGGAAAATAAAATAAAAGAGGGAGCTTTCCAAGCTTAATCCATAATATACAACACATGTGGAAAACAATGTCATACAAATATTAACAAAATACAGTATTCAGATGATTATAGGGCTAATAACAAGATAAGGAAAACAACACAAAATCATTTTTTTTAAAAAGGCAATTACCTGACACTGCAGAAAGAAAAAAATACAAATATGAAAATGAGAAAAGTATTTTGTAAAAACAGATAAAATGGCAAAAAATTTTCTAATTCAAACATTAAAAATACTGATTCTTATTTTCAATAAATATGCAAATTCTCTGTTAAAAAAAATACTAATTCTTAAAGTTAGTTTAAATCTTGGCAGCTTACCAAGGGGAGCCAAGAAGTTTTACTACTATCTCCCATTTTTCAGAAGACAGCCACAACACCCCAGATTCTTGTCAAAGAACACAATTTTTTATACTGAAAAGCTTGACTCTAATTAAAATAAAAGCAAATTTCTTCAAACAGTAAAAAGCAACTACCAACATCCAAAAAACATGAAGGATCTTACATACAAAGGTTAAAAAAAGTCACAGAAAAAAATCCAAAATGTTCACAAAAGTTCATCAAATAATATAAATGAAAATAAACCAAAAAGAATGCTTAAAAACAACCTATTTAAAAGATGAAATTTTCCAGCAAAATTGATATTCACATTAATGGAAAAAATATAATTTCAATTTGTATTTTAAACCTACAATCAAGGATCACCAGATATCAATATGTGTTGTGTTTTATGCTCAAAATTTATCTCTAAAAAACTCAACTTTTCATACAGACTTAAAGGCTCTTTCATCAAATATAGAAGTATGATGCTTAACTTGAAAGAACTGTGTATTTAAAACACAAAAGTATTTACAACACAAGGATTCTATCCACTGAAGCCGGAGGGAAAAAAATCTACCACTGCCATCACCATTGTTTACAATATACTAGATAATGACAGAAGACAATAAGGAAGTAAAACAGTATCAATATGTTTAATTTAAAAATCTATATTGAAGATACCCTGCAATATTACTAATCAAATAAACTGACATAACTCCAGATATATTTTGAGTCAAAATATAGCTCAAGCCCTGGTTGGTGTGGCTCAGTGGAGTGAGTGCCAGCCTGAGAAGCAAAAGGTCGCTGGTTCGATTCCCAGTCAGGGCCACATGCCTGGGTTGCAGGCCAGGTCCCCAGCAGGGGGCACAGGAGAGGCAACAAAACATTGATGTTTCTTTCTCTTTCTTTCTCCCTCCCTTCCCCCTCTCTAAAAATAAATATATATATAAATCTTTTTAAGAAATGGTTTTCAAAAATATAGCTCAAAAACAGCAAAAAAAAAGGAATGCATGACTACAGAAATTTTGAGTAACATGCACTCAAATTGTAGTTTGCCACATATCTATAAAACAATTTTTCTATAGAAGCTTTTTTTAAAAGATTTTATTTATTTACTTTTAGAGAGAGCAGAAGGGAGGCAGAAAGAGAAGGAGAAAAACCTCATATGTGAGAGACATCAATCAGTTGCCTCTCACACACCCCCTACTAGGGACCTGACCCGCAACCTGGGTATGTGCCCTGAACTGGGAATCAAACAAGCCACATTTCGGTTTGTAGGCGGGTGCTCAATTCACTGAGCTACACCAGCCAGGGCCATAGATTTTTTTTAGGTGGGGAAAGAAGTAAGCTATATTCCCCATTAACTCTCAATGGCCGTTTTATTTTGCTAATCAATTCAGCCCCCACTAATTCAATAATGGTCAGGAAACATTTTTCTTTTTTTATATATTTTCTTTAGGCAACACTTATCATCTCAAAGTTTCTGAAGAGTAAGAACCTGAAAGTGTCTTAGTGGCGTGGTTCCAGCTCAAAGTTTCCCAAGAGCTGTAATAAAGTAGTCATGTCTATACATTACTTTTTAAAGTTATAAAACAAAAAGAATCGCCTGTCCCTCCTCCACCCACCACCAAAGTTAAATTTAAATTCCATGATCAGGGGAACTTGGCTCTGTAATATTCATCTACATTGAAAAGTCAACATCCTATCGATAATTGTCACATTTTAGGGCATTTTTTGATGTCAAATATCCTCAAAAGCTGTCTAGATTAGACCAACTTCACTTCTAACACTACATTTAAAGATATTAGAAACCCTATATAATTAAGTTCAATTTGCTAACACAAATGAGTATAATCTTGTGAAAACTTCCTGAGACATAAATTTATCAGTATTTTTAAAAAAGTGAAAAGACACAAAAGTCTTACGTCATCTAATATAATAAAGAATTCACTAAATTATTTATTAACCATTGTACAAGTGAGCAAGAGATATTATTCTTAGCTCCCTACTGAAGATCAAATTTGTTTCAATTTGATATTATAAATTAATATAGCTAGGGACTTCAGTTTCCTTCTCCTTTCCTGAAAAAAGAAAAGGTGTTTCCTAACATTCTATCAAAGAGGAAAAATGTTACAGAAACTTTCATTTATAGCCATACTCCAAACATCCCTTGCAGTGCCTTGATAAAAATGTACCATACAGGAAAACATAAGCTTCTAAATTAGGAGAAATTATTCCTTTCAGTATGTTGTCTATTTGAATAGCTCACAAGATGCCATTCAAGTACATGCACTTAATATTTGAAAAATTTTTAGAGTTAAGATGAATTCAAGATTAGTTATATCAAGTAATATTTGTCATCATTACTGCTTCTTTATTAAAAAAATACATAGCATTCAGTCCCCTCAATACTTTAAATTTCCCATTTTCCCTCCATCAAATGAACGTTATTCCATTCCATTTAGCCAAAAGAAAACAGCAAACACATTTTTGTGGACTCTCCTGGCAAATCAGTGTTTTAGAAACCAATGCAACTGTTATTAATGGCTCAGAACCAAACACTGTAACAAAACACAGAGTAGAAACCTCCGTGTGTATGTGTGTGTAGATGTGCCCATTCATAATAATGCGATCCTCGCACATGTATACAAAAACTCAATTTCTATTTAATACCAAAACATTTTTACATAATACACAGATTACAATAAAACTGTGCTCTTTTAATGTTCAATGAAAGAACAATTTCTAAAGCTGACGATGAAAGGAGTTAACACCGGGACTGCTGCCACCTATCAACTTCAATTCAAAGCAAAGTACAACTCAATGTCATTTTTACCTCTAATGCAGCCACGACTAGAACAAAATTAACTTCACTGTGGGATACTGTATCTTGGCATCCCAATGGATTATTTACTTGTCCGATATGCGTGGTGTCCCTCCCACAGCAACCCAAGGTGTCTACATCATCTTAGTCAAAGCAAATGACGAGCAAACCCCTCAGGTCATTACTTCGCACCCTAAGTAACAAAGTCAGGGCCTTACTACAAAGTCGTTACTACACAGCCAATATTTTATAGATCCATGCCCCCTGTTCTTACATTTGGGGAGGCGGGGTAGGAAATAAGCGCTTAGTAGTGCTTGAGAAGCCTGTATTCAGTCCTTGTACCAGAAGCAGCAAGAAGACAAGTGATATGTGGGTCACCCACAGAGAGAGAACAGAACGAAGCTTCATGGCCCTCCAAGTTCAATGATACCAAAGCCTCTGGGGAAACGGGGCGCAAGCCTTCGGGGACACCGGAGAGAAGCAGACGGTCTCCAAGGTGGACTGACTGAATCTGGCACATGCCCGGGGCGTGGGCAGCGACCGAGAAGCCTCCCGTCCCCTTTCCCTCTCCACCAGGGTCGGTCCCTCGGCGAGGGAGTATGCCAAAGGAGGGGGTCGGCTAGTCTAGGGGGTCGGCCAGAGGAGGGGGTCAGAACTGGAGGAGGGCGGGGCCCTGGGCTCCACCGGCCGCGCCCCGGGGGTTCGGGGGGGTGTGTCCTACCTGGGCCGTGGCGGACGCAGGGATTTCGGGCGGAGGGCTGGCACCAGCTCAGGATCGGGACCAACAGGGGTCAACCCTCCGCAGGAGGGACCGCCGCCGCCTGCCCATCCCCCGCCGCCGACTGCGGCGGGACCCGAGCGCGGCTTCGAGGCCGGCCGGCCGGGTAGTCCCCTCGGGTACCGTCCGCGTTTACTGGCGGCGGCGGCGACGGCTGCTGCTGGTACGGCTGCTGCTGGCCACCCCCCGCCGCTGCTCTTGCGCCAGCCCCTGCTTCTCCTTCTGCCGCCGCCGCCGCCGCCTCGTCCCCACCGCTCCCATCGCCGCTGCGGCGACTACTGCAGCGCCTGCTGACCCGACCCGACGTTACTCTCCCCCTTCGCAACCCAGCACAACCTACACCACTAGCCCTGCCAGTGCGCACGCCCACCTCTCCACCACGGGTGCTGATTGGAGACTGCGGCACAAGCCTGCCACGTCGGTTGGTTGGTCCCATTGCCTATCATGAAGGGGGCGGAGAGTCAGGCAGAGAGCGTCTCCGCCCCCTACCGGAGAATTGCCGCTATCTTCAGGTTTGCCTGAGAGGCCTAGTTACCGAGAAAGGAGCATCACAATAGCTGCGCGCATGCGCGCGAGAATTCTGGGCCTCGTAGTTCCAGCCACAACCGCAGCTACACACCGGTCCAGAGGGGAGAAGTAGGGCTTCAGAAAGCAGTGGCTGGTGCACGGTGGTGTCTTAAAACTTGCGTGGTTGTTCTATAGAAATGTGGTTGTGACCCCAGGGTTGGGCGTTCCGTTAGAAAATCGGAAATGTTTTGGCATGATATGAGTTGACAGACTCTGAGGCAGTCGCGAGGAAGAGCCCCAAGTCGCGAGGCCCTGCCATGCCGCTTCCTCAGAACCAGAGCCGCCAGAATCTGGCAAATTGGCGCTGTGCCTAGAACCGCCTAACGCGAAGCTAATCGCTGGTCCGTACTGGGAAAAGGCCTAAAGGTCTAAGGAGGAAAGGAGACCGAGACCTAGGAAAGGAGTGTCAGCCTGGATCCCGGAATATCCTTACACAACCCACGAAGAATGAGATTTCATTCCCTTTCTGAGACACCACCAACCAAAGGTTCAATAAGCAGGCCCCAGGGGACCAGTATGGGATTCTAAGCTATATAATGAAGGAGTCCCTCGAAGGGTTTCAAAGAAAAGCGAAGAGGGAGAATCGATGAGGCTAGGGGGATAAATTTGTATTTGGTGTTCTGTTAAGTTCTAATGAAATCCCTCTCACATACTAACCCACCAAGTTATAGAAGGCGGGGCGGGGAACCAAAGAGGTTAAACAGCTTGCCCAAGACTAGAAAATAATTTGTGGCAAAACCAAAACTCAAGTCACTTAAATTTCTGGTGTCCAATGTTGCTGTTGTTTGTTTATTTTTAACTAATTATCACAGTGACTCCCAGGAGTGTATCATGGACTGAAAGGACGCAATGAATTATGATCTTCATTTTACTTTAAATCTTTTCTTCACTCAAGTGAGATTACAGTTAAAGCCAATTAAGAACAAAAAATGGTTTGAGCATGTAGACAAAATATAACACTGAAGAAAGAGAAAAAATATATAAAAGGGTTAAATATGAATTCTATATTCAATCTCAGAATGGTTACAGAATCTGTTTCTTCTTGTAAGTAAATGCCACAGCCTCCTGACATACTTTTTAAAAAGACAGCAGGCACCTCTACTGTCTGTCATGTCGAGATCCTTGGATAAAAAGCAGAACAAAATGTACATTAAATGCAATTGATGATACAGCTTAAAGAAGTTGCCAAATTGTTGCTTTTCCACTGATTGAAACCACAAGTTGTTTTTCCATTACTTTGTCTAAGAGAATATAGATCACTTCAGAGTACTGTCTGGGCAAGTAATTTGAATTGGAAAGGATTAGAGTTTCTGTAAATACTTTTTGTTAAACTAAAGAAGTTTATAGGGGTAAAAATCCAGTTATATTTCAAATAGTTATCTCTGTTTGAAGAGAATATTTTTCACTCAACAAATTCAGTGTGTCCTCTTCAAGCTACCCAGATATATTCCTGTTATCGTGGGGTAAGGGTTTTAATGAATTTACACATGGAACTATTATGGTTTATTTTAAATGAGTCAGGAGGTACTCTAAATGATGGAAAGATGGTTATTATAATTATTATTTTATGACCAACTCTCATATGCAAATCAATGAAAGATGAGATAGAGTATGTGAGAAAGCAGTCCAGTAGCTGTATGTCAAGAGAGAGTCTTAAAAATGCAGTGAAGAGGGAAGTGTTCTGTGATTAGTATATTGAGAATAGGGCTGCAGTGTATCTCAGGATAAAAGTTTAAGAATGAACATACCATGAAAGTTAATGTCACGTTGGTAGGAACCTTGGGATGTTGGACTACCCGAGGAAAACAGCTACCCAAGCCTCTCTTTTTTTATGGTGCCCCAAGATAGATAGATAGATAGATATTTTAGTTAGATTAAATGGAAAAGCAATATATTATTCAAGAGCTGGTACTGGAATTAAAATATATTTAAAAATAGAGAAATGTGGTACTCAGCCTCTAAGAAGGCCCGTAATGATTTGTGTCTCCTGGTACACAATAGTCCTTCCCATACTGAATTGGGCTGACTTGTGTAACCAGTATGTTTTTTCACAAATTATGTTATATAAATTTCAAGGCTAAGTCATAAAAGACTTTGCTCTCTTGGATCACTTACTTAGAAGCCAGTTGCCATAACATGAGGACACTCAAGCAGCCCGTTGCAGCGGGCACCTGGCAAGGACTTTAGTCATTACACCAAGTAATCAGCACCATCTTGCAAGCCATGTGAGTAAACCATTCTTGGAAGTAGATCCTCCAGCCCTAGCCAAGCCTTCAAATGGCTGCAGGCCCAAGGGCATCTTGACTGCCACTTTGTGAGAGATAACCTAAACCAGAATCACCCAAGTAAGTCACTCTCAAAAGCCAAACCAACAGAACTATGTGACAATAATAAATGTGTACTGTTGCTTTAAGCATTAAGTTTTGGGGGCAATTTGTCATGCAGCAATTGATAATAAAGTAAGATTAGCACACAAAAAAAGTGAGGGGGAAGAGAGGAATGATTCAAGTCTATTGATGTGTGCCCTGGATAATTGAGTCTGAAAGAATAATACTCTGATCTTGGATCAGTCTTAGAACATATTCAAGGATAATAAGCAAAGTTCAGATTTACACTGAGTTCTAACACAGGACAGAAAGCCCTTTTCAACAGCTTTTCTCCTAGCACAGAATAAAGAACATAGTGGAAAATCCCTTTCTTTTCCTTTTCCTCAATTTGTGGCCTCCTCCACCTATCTTTAGATCTTTCCATCTCACTCTTTAAAAGCACATCTCATGTGGTACACCTGGAACTAATATGTTATATATTAATTATTGCCTAATAAAAAAATCTCAAAATTGTACATTTTAAATGGGTGGATTGTATGGTATGTAACTTATAGGTCAATAAAGCTGTTTTAAAAAAACTGCACAGTCCTTTGAAATATGAAACTCAAGAGTAAACTGGTTCTCCAGTGCTTTCACAAACCAACAAACAGCCCTGTTTTTCAAATTTTTATCAGTCTAACCAGTTTCTATTTGAATATTACTTAATCTACTAAACAGAAACTTTAGAACCTATTAATGCCGCTGCTCTGCTGGACACTGGGAAAACAAATATGAATCAAGTCAGCCCCTCTGCTTAAGGGTTTTACAATAGATTAGCAAACATGCAAATCCTATTACAATACACTGCAATAACTGCTTTAATATAGGTATATTATGTAACAAATATAGATGCTCTAGAATAGGGGTCAGTAAATTATAGCCTGCAGGCAAAATCTGTAGGGTCTTCTGAGACTTTGACCTCTTTTGACAGAAATACATTCACACCAAATATATTAACTATACTCAAATGTATGTGTTTTTTTAAAAACTTCATAATTTATTTCTAATTAATTTCGAACAAAAAGAAATAAGAGAAACAGGGTGGAGGAGCGAAATAATCTCAATTTGGTGTATACTAGTCTATTGTCTTTTAACCTATGGAATATCAATTAATGTTTGATAATTATTAAAATAGAACATACCATCAGGGAAGAGGGACACTGATTAGAACTAAAGTTATCAAATAAAAGTTAGTTTGCATTGACAAAAGTAATTCTAATTATTAGTTATTTATTGATATACTTCCTATTTATGCCTAACTTTTATGAAATACAGAACAAACTATACCATTAATGTTAACTTTTTCCAAATTGTATTCTATTAGAACAGTGAATTCTATACATATGTGCTCATACTTTTAAGTTTCATCTTTGTTACAAGGCCATCCATTAACAGAGCATCCCTGTACACTCACAGTTTTCAAATGGGAAGCTGGTGAGGTGTTACTGTGATTGCTGATGTGTGCCTGTGATAGTCTGAAAAAGTTCACTGACTTTCTGGTTCAGGGATTGTCTACTGCAAACACTGGACATGTTTGTGATTTTCATTCTCTACTGCCACGAAGACTAGCTGGATGGCAAAGCTAATAGTGCATCCTAGTGATCATAATATTCCACTGCCGGCTGCACTGAAATAAAATAGTCTCTTCTATTTGTCTTATTAATCAAAGCAGACTATCTAGTGACTAACTTTTACATAATTTTTAGAGGCCTGATGATGAAGATGACAAAAATGATCTTTTAATATTTTTCTGGTGGTATTTGAGCAATGTATGTTCTACCAAACATTATGTTCTACAAAATAAAATATACTTGCAGAGCACCTAAATTTCCAGAAATTGATTAGCTATCATACCAAGGTACTGTATGACATTCTATGGAGGAATAAAGGAATATAAGATGTGGTCCTTATATGGGCTATTTAGAACTACAGCTTTTTGTGCATATGTCATATTGGTCCCTGATCATAGGGGGACCATTTCTCATACTGCATATTTTCTATACTTTCAAAGAAAGATGAGATTTAACCTATACTCTTGCAGGAGGATACCATCCTCATTCCTCTTTTCTTAGTAAATTGAAACTCCATTTTTCAGGTTCACACAGATTTTCAAAAAATCTATTCCTGGAAAAACAAAAATTTAAAATATTTAATTCCCATTGATGACAATAGAAAGTTTGTAAATAGATTAAAATACATTTAATATATAACAAAAGTGACATCTCAAAAATTGGTCTTTATAGGAATTGTGTTCAGATAAGCAAACAATCATTTTAAAAAATATAATAAAATTGAACCACAGACAGAAGTAATTCCAAATGGATCAGAGACATAAACATAAAAAATGAAACCATACAATTACTATAAGAAAACATGGA